TTCTTCTACCAAAAATTTTCGAAAATACAAAAGCAGTCTTGTTTTATAATCTTTCACTCCCAAAAAATTGAATAAAAACTCTCATGTTACTTCGAATTTCTGACAATAATAACAGTAATGTATAATTATAATTACTTTTATGTTCTGGTACAGGAATTTTCTTTATATCATTATATATTTTGTTAGGCGAAATTTTCTTCCTAGTAAACATCTGTTATATTGCCCAAATAAAAATACTTCAAGCGTTGATGTGAGCTTTGCGTTCTGTATTCTTTACCATTTGCACCTTTTAATAGTTTATTATTAATTTAGAATTGTATATGCGTACAAAATTTATTTGGTTTTATACAGCAACGAATAAATTAACTTTTACAACATGTTCTAAAGTATTTTTTCGTCCTCCATGCAATCGGTTTACCACGTGAGCTGACAAGTAACATTATTACTTCTCAATCCGATCAGGCATACGGATTCAGTATTTCTCAGCAGGGAGAATAGCGAGCATGTTTTAAAAGCATACTTCCGGGACTGTATCAACGACGTTAGATGGATTGGAACCGTACGAAGGGCAATAAACTGGGAAAATAAAACCTAATTATTTTTTTTTAATTGTTTAAAATTTCGTTTCAAAGTCAAGTGTTATTCCAAAACTAAGGCGAAGTAACACACATGTTTTGTAGAAAACAGTAAGGTAGTGCCATCAGCAGAAATTAAATATGATATTTTAAGTATTACAGATCGCCTGTATTTCTGAAAAGATTTCAAATTTCTTTCTAAACTGTAATGTATTCGAACATATATTAATTTTGGAAAGATTTTAAATTTAAGTGTGTCTGAATTGTATTTTTAGATTTAACATGAAATTTATGTCCATGTTAAATCTAAAAGTACCGCAAGTTAATTGTAGGAAATCGTAGAGCAGAGTCTTATTTCGACTTTCAATAAAGACGAAACTGAATAAGTGGTAAGTGAAATAAACTAAATCTATGGCCAGGCAGGCTTAAGTAAAAGATGAAATGCTAGAGATTAAGGTAGAATTTGGAATACTAAGATGTTGTCGAGATGCCAGAAATACAAACATGATGTACAAAACTGAGTCGAGGTAGCTGTAGATAGAAGAAAAATAGATGCACTTTTTTTTCAGAGAAAACACAGCTGCCGTAGATAAAGATTAGGAAGGATTTTACTTAATTAGTGAGGATAAAAAAGAAAGTGGTTGTAGTAAAAGGAATAAATGTGTCATAGTGAACTAAAAAGTATTAGTGATCTCAAATACTACAAAATTTCTTTTCCCACCTAGGTTCAACTGGAAGGATGGTTTATGTAACATTTTAACTAATTTTTAGATTTAAATAAAAAAAAAAGGAGCACAGTTAATGTAAAGAAGCTACAAGTATTATAATGCTGTGGTTTTAACACAGAATGAGTCCGTTTCAGGACTTTCATGCAGAGCTCTTCTTCCGGAAGGGGCGAGTATGGCATTTTAGGTTTCACCAACGAAAGGTTACTTAATTTACTTCTTTTCCTTTCTATCTCTGGGCCCAACAGCGGCTGAGCAGTAAAGTCGCTGAACACTGGTAGTTCGATCTAGGGCTCGAATTCCGGCGAATGGGCTGGACAATGCGGGTTTTCGTGCTTTCCCCACGTGTAACATATAGACGAGCGAGTTTACCTTAGAATATTCTCCACGAAGGCATCCCTCCCCTCAGGCAGATAGCCCTTGAGCCTTTGTCGTAATCATATAAAACCAAAATCAGACCTTTCTATCTCTTTTTAGGACGAGGCTCGCTTTTTCAAAATCTATGAAGATTTTAGAGCCAAGCGGATTTTACTGCATATTTTTCCCGACTCCTTCCCCGAAATAAAATACTGAATGGTCTTTATAAAGCCTACTTAGGAAATTCAATACTGCTTCTGATGAATAAAAAAGGAATGTATTTTTACATGAAATTAAATAGAACAATATCATGCTATTCAAATGCCGTAGGAATACACATATGATACAGAGAAAATACATAGATGATTCCAAACAAGCCGTGGCATCTGCATTGTCTTAGAAACAGTTAATATGGTGCACATTTTCATGCGCAGACACGTAGTGTTACGCGCTAATTGGACAGACACGCAGGCCTTTCATGAAATTAATCAGGCTTCGAGTTAAAACTTTTAGGATTAAAAATTATTCTTTTAAAATGGAAGATCTGACCCGCTGATTGCTCAGGGAACGAGTCTGTTCTGCTGCAACTCGGTGTTCCAAGACATTCTAGACATATTCAACAGAAAGGACTTGTGACAAGTGGATTGAATCCTATATGAAGATATCTTCAATTCAAATTATTCATCCATAAAAATGTTAAATGGGCTCAAGATTTATTGTCTTTTAGGTGAAATTCTTAACTACCTCGCTTGGGTCTTTATGATCTCGTTTACGTATTTTAGCCAGTTGCTGGATTTCAGTTGCAAATATGCAACTGTGAGACAACAAATATGATCTGTGAGATTATTTATCACGATTCTTCCTCAGCTGTGAATTTACCACCATCAAAACTGGGTCTTTTAATAATTTGTAGAAAGGGTGTGAACGAATGACTCAGTTTTCCTAACTGTGGATTGATTCCCTAGATAAAAGTACGTTGAAACTTAAAAATTGATCTGTGCAGGTAAAAGTATCGTATTTAAATTGAACATTAGCTCATCAATGAAAAGAATTTGTGCTTAACCATTTGAGTTCCTGTAGCAGTGAAGATGACACTATCTTAAGTTGTCTGACAAGAAAAGGAAGAACTTGATATGTTCTCCTCGCGAACAGACCCCTTTTGAGCCGCAGTGGCTAATCGCACCGACGGTGCGAATAGCTAAGAAGCTATTCACACGGCCTACGTTCGAGCATGCGCACAATCAGCCCAGGTACCAGCAGTTTAAGCCGATTTTCGTTGGCAGAGGTAGCGAGAGCGAAGGTTATGAACCCTAACTCAGCAATAGTGTTAATAGTTTACCAGCAAGAGAATAATTTGCAAGTAATAATTATCAGTTACAAAGACGAGGTCAATCTATATACATAATAATGTTCAGGAAATAATCAGATAAAATAGGGATTTAATGATGGTTATAATTGCAAGCGAGGATGTGTAATTAGTTAAAAAATCTTTAATGTATTGACAAAAAGGCTACAGAAATTACTTAGATTCTTTTATTTAACAGAAGAATTTTTATGTAAACTTAGACCCTAGTCTTATAGCATAGGACTGTCAGAATTTATTATTCAATAAGAAAACTTACTGAAAATTATAATATTCTTTTATACTCATCACTTTTTCAGTATTCACGCATGTTTATAGGTTCAAATGCCATACTTCAAAATTAAAGTTATTTATAAAATAAAACCTTATAAAATCTGATAACTCATTTGTGTGTGTAAATTTTTAAATCTAAATTTCTTACATTAAATTATTTCTGTCTTTTAAATAACATCCCATTATTTATTTCAATTTAATTTATTAATGTGTTTGTACTAATATTTCAAAGTTTTTTGGAATACTTTTTACGTCCTGAAAATGCCAAGTATTTCAATAAAAAAAAATAAACAGGCATACAAAATTGTTAATAACCAGTATTATATGATTAATTGTTTAGTAGTTGATTTAATCACTTTTAACTTAATTCATGTCTAAATTTTCTACACAGAAATCCTCTATCTAATTTTTAGTATCCTTTCTTGGACGAAAATTTTCAAAGAGGAATGAATTAAAGTCCTGATTGCGCAAAACACATCTTTGAAACTAAATGTATTCTAAGAAGTTCAAAAAATGTAAACAAGATTTTGTCCCCCCAAACCAGTAATTTAAACTATCCCAACTAATTTAAATTATTCAGGAAAACGATAAACATTGCGAACATAAAATTCTAACCTTTTTTATATATACTTTAATAACAGGAAATGTGTTCCTTTTTTTTATAAGAAAAGGAACCCATTTTCCGTTCTAAACTTTTGAAAGCCGCCAACGCTTAAAAAATGATAAACTACGCCAGGGTAAGTAACCCGTCTTAAAAAAAAAAAAAAAGATTCACTACAACACTTACTATTATGCAGTTCGCGTACGTAGAATCCGTTCTTTTTTATTGGGCTCAAATCACGGATCTGACAACTCATTGCACATGCGTGGTTAATGTTGGTGCGAATAGCTTAAGCTGCTAACCGCACCGCTGGTGCGAATAGCATCGGCCCTTTTGCGCAGGCTTTGGTGCACGAAAACCCTGTTTTCTTCTGCTTGTTGCGTCGAGGTCAGATGTGAATTACACCTTGCAGTTGCACCCGGACTTCGTCTCGCTATTCGAGACAAATAACGGATGCAGTAACATCCCTTTGAAAAAACTGACTTTCCAGCTGACATACTTTGATAAGAAATCGGCTTCGTACCTTTGAGATGATGTACCTTTGAAATGATGAAACATGGCCTAACTCAGCTGACTCAAACTTTAATAGCGTGATTTAACTTCGGCTAGCAAATGGCTAATGTTAGAATATTAACCGGCACTATTGGGGGATAGAAAGCAAATCTGCGAGCGTTGCTGCCAATTGTCTATCTAAAACATTCAAAACCCTTGCCTTAAATACTCTTAACTCATTTGCATCCTCTTGAGAGCTAAAAAAAAAAGAAGTAATAGAAAATTAAAATCAATAGTAATTGAAGATTCAAACCACAAAACTAGTTAATTATGATAACATAAAATAACTTATATCTGTAATTGTTGGTAGGTGCATAAATAAAGATGCATCGAAATAAATAATACTCGTTTACCTGCGGCATACCTTTATTTTGAATCTCAATTAGCATCAACATGATTTCCTAGATTTAAAGTGGGGGGAAGCAATTTTTTTTCTGTATTTCTTTTCTCTTTTATATATATATATATATATTCAGGAAATGTATTTAAAAAATTGTTGTACATTTCTTATAAATTATCTCATGATATTTAAAAATAATATATCTCTTTGGCAGATAACAAAGCCCGTTGGATCATGCGTACTATTCCCAGAAAATTAGGTCCCAGGATAATACGACTTTATGGAAATCCTTTAGCATGGTGGTACGGACAATTTCTTCAGTATTTAATGAGACCAAACATTCATCTAAGTTCATTATTAGAGAAGTTAACTAGAAATATAAATTTCACAAGCTCCGTCGCTGGGTGAGTACAGAATATATTAATTTTATAATGCGCATATGCTCTGTGAAACTAAAACTGTTATATATTAAAAACGATTTTTTTAATGGGATAAACTACCTTTACTTAATTTCAGTTTTTTAAGTTCCATGTAGTTGATGATATATCACTAAGATAAAAGGTAAATGTATGAAAATATTTTAGTTAACATAGTTCTTCTATCTTACTTTATTAACAGTAATTTAATATTATTAAATTTTAATATAATCGCTTAGTATTTTAATGGGTCAGGTTAACATTTAAAATCATTTTTTGGCATTGAATCATATATAATGAAAAAAAGAAGAAGAATTTTTTATTCTTCACAAGTTTTCAAAAGGGTAAAATTAATAAAAATTAAATAATATAAATTTAAGATTACAATTTATATATTAATTGATCCATCTCTAGATATCTCTAGCTAACTATACCACAACTATGGGTTATACCGTATTAAATACAAAAGTTTCATAATTACACATATGAGATTCATAATTACACTTATGAGATTCTCAGTTATAAGCATGGAGACAGAAGTTATGAAGCAGTTAACACCTCACTATAAGACAGGTTGAAGCCATTTCGCTGATAAGCTTGCTTGCCTCGCTCATTTTTATCGGCTACCATTTCTGTGGATTATCTACATATAATTACACCATAACAAATACAAAAGTTTCATAGTTACACATCTCTTACTTATACCCTGTAGTGCCATTAACTTAGTTTGGCGGATAAGTAAAGTGACCATATCTCTCACTTATGAGAATTTCAGTTATAGGCATGGAAGTAGAAGTAATGAAGCGACTAATTCCCTTACTGTAGGACCGTTTGAAGCCATTTCTCTGATAATCTTGCCTGCCTCTCTCGTTTTATCGGCCCAGTCAGGCTACTAATTATATGTAACTCTACGTATTTTTCACTATTTTAAACATGCTAATAAGCTACCTTTTTGCAAATAAACTAAAAATTTTGGTCATACTATTAAAATGATTTTTAAATTTACCACAGTTAGATTTTACAAGCATTAGCAGTTTGCAATAAGCATAAAGTAAAATATTAAGAAATACTTTTAAAAAGCATTGATAGACACAGAGATGTAATTTCAAAGCAATTAATTTTTCTGTGCTATTTAAGTATTTAATATAAGTGACAGAAGTGAAACTGAAGTCCTAATCAGATATAACATTAATAACTAATATTTTAATAGCAAAAAATGATTGTAAACTTAAGGTAGTTTTTTAGGAAAATCTCCAACTAGTAAATACCAGAAACGAAAATTGAAGAAAATAATAGATTGATTTCTGTATACATAATAAAACTTCTAAAATGCTTTTCTATACTTAAGAAAAAAAATATTAACATGAAACATGAGCAGTCTTTATTTATAGCGAAAGTATGACTTTCATCAGAAATTCGAAAAATTAGATTTCATGAAGACGATTTAGTTGCACAATCTCTTAGTTCCCCTGTATTTAAATACTTACCTCATAACATCTAATCCATGTTATCGAAAGCTTAATAGGAATTTTGAGATACATTAAGCAAAATATACAAAATAGATTTGTACATCCATGAGTAGAATATTTAAATTAAATCCTAAAATAGATCGCTTTTGAGGTCATGTAATGCAAATAATTTCTTCCTTGTCTACTATGAGATGCACACAGAAATGTTAATATTAACTCTGATTAAATATTATGAAACAGAAAATTAATATCTTGTTAAAATTTAAGGAATTAATTCAAAATTTAATAGATTTTATTCATATTACCGACAATGTTTATGTACACTATTCTTCAAACAAAGTTAATTCAGATGACCGCAAATTCAGTTGAGTTAAAAATAAATTAATGAGCCACATTAATTAATTAAATAAGATAAAAATCAGACACTTAAAATTTCGTAAAAACAGTATGTAAAAATTTATTATTAGAAAAGAGAGTTTGCGTTGGATCGAGGATATTTTTATTATTTAATTTTATTAATAGCATTCTTTTTTCAGTACCATCAAAAACTTGATTATACTTGACAAATAACCGTAAAAGTTATTCTCCTTTGCACAAAACTAATTAATTAAATATTATTATTATTTTTAATGTAAATTTTCCAGTAGCACTTTACAGCCCTACATACTTCTGATCCTTCGATAATGTTAATGCTGCGTTTAAGCACTCAGGTAAATATTTTGCACTTATATATAGTAAGCGTAAATCATATGATAATGACTTCTGCAGAGAAAAATTATATTTAACTTAAAATTTAGCAGCTTTCTTAGGAAGAGAAATGTAAAAATGAAATACAAAAAGATCTTGTAGATAATCTTGAAACTTATGCAAAAAAAATTATTAAAGTTTCCAAAATTCTTTCTAGCTAAAGAAGTTAGTCTTTAAGTATATTTCATTATTTTTTATGATATCATCAACTAGTTATTAATATTTAACACAAATATCATTTGATTTACTTATAAAAACATTACTTTTAATTAATTTTAAGCAAGCAAAATTAACATGAAGCATTTTAAGCAAAATTAACTTTAACTAATTTCAAATTACGTAAATAGAATCAATCAAATTTTCATTTTCTAAAAGTTTTTCAAAAATCATAATTCCATAATGCTATAAGATACTATTTTATGAATATTAAATATTAAAAAATTAAGAAATAGCATTTAAACAACATCACATTCATAATATCTAGCATTACCTTAACTCCAATGTAAACTGTAAATTAGTATTTTTAATACAAGAACGACTACACTTAGAAAATTCTAACACGAAAGAATACAGAAGCAATACCAATGGAAAGAGGAATATACATTACTTTAATTAATTAAGCTTAATTTTTTGCTTTTTGATGCATTCTTTCTGAACATCCAGTGAATGTTAAACTTGCAATCCCAATGTTAAAATCCAATGAATGTTAAACTTGAAATGGTTTGTTGTGTGTCTGTTGTCACACAACAAAACATTTTATCTCTTTAAATTAAAAATATAGAAAATATTGTCGAGAGTATCATCGATGCCATAGCATCCTATTGTAAGGAGGAAGTGGACGAGGACCGATAAAAGAAATTGAGCGTGGATTGATAACTGACTCAGTTTCAACCTCAGATTTAGGGCTCCATATATTTGTATCTCCATGATTATAGGCCGACATGATTGGTCTATAACCATAGAATAATACATACCATCTATGGTCCTGGTCAATAGTATGGAGACATAGTGCTACTTTATTTTCATATAAGTCTGAATTTGATAGTTTTACCTATCAGTTAAGATAGAATTTCATGAAATTTTTGTTTTGCAAATTTGTCGAAATACAGGGCCTAATGTCTAAAATCAGATGTCTAATGTCTAAATCTAAAGAATAAATGATACATAATTTAAACTAGGCAAAATGTAAAAAGATAAACAACAATATTAATAAACTAAATTAATGATAAAGAGCTGAATAAAAAATTGAAGCAAAATAACTAAAATACTAAACTGAATGATAAAGCAAACGAAGAGTGGGTAAATTCATAATAATAAGACGAGATACCGAGGATCAAAAACAAATTAAATATTTTGAGCAATACCCTTCGAGTTCAATAAATTTATCCCTCTGTTTTCCATTTAAACTCTTCTTGACTGGATGAGTACAAACAATAAATATTATGTTTACCTAAAAGATTGCATGCGACATGCGATTTTGCATGTTTCTTCGCACCTGCTTAACTCTCGCATGTCTTTAAGAATGCTCCACATGTCTTTCTTTTTAGAGAAAGTGAGGCATATATACAGAGGCTCACAGTTTTACTAATTGATACAACGAATACCACATAAATAACAGAATTTTATGCTAACACTCAGATTCGGTTGTTTAATAAAGTGTCAGAACTCATTTCCTTTTGGACTTCGGCGCAGTCTTTGGAAATCTGTCTTTTTAAACTGCCAATCTACCCCTAAACATGGCCGACTAGCAGAGTAGGAACAACATACCAACCGTGACGAGAATTTTCGTTAGTTCTCAGTACTCGCTAAGATTCAGCATAAGTTCCAGTTAAGGAACCGAAGTGTTTGATCTTTCTCCCTCATAAACAAATTATATAGTAACTAAACAAAGAGTTTACTTAAAAACAATAAACCAATTTCACTTCAGAGTCTGGTTTTGAAGTTTTAGTAAGTTTCAGCTCCTTAGCTATTTCAGTAATTTAGGTGTATTTAATTTAATTATGGCAAAGCACACTAGGGCTATCTGCCTAAGGAGGGATGCCTTCGTGGAGGACTTTCTAATGGAAACTGGCTCGTATACACGTTACACATGGGGAAAACCACGAAAACACCCATGCAGCCAGCCCGTTCTCGGGATTCGAACCTCGGACCGAACTACCAGTGTTCAGCGACTTTACCGCTCGGCCGCTGGTGGGCCCATTTCAGTAATTTAGAAAATTAAATTTAGGGCAGTTAGTCTAAAAATTAAAACAGTTTAGTTATGGTTTTATCAGTTTCTATACATAATTATTACACAAATAATGTGCATTAAAAAATATTTTTTACGAGATATATGCCGATAAGTAATTGGTATAATGTTTATAACACTTAATAATGAGGTAAATTTATATTGGATCATTTAAATGTGTTATAAATTTAATTATTTGAAGATATTATTGAAAACTAAAGACACAGATTATAAAGATATAAATTACAAAATTATAAAAATATTACTAGTCACTACACTCGTTAACTAACGCATAGTTTCAATTTAAAAGCGAAGTGAGGATCTTACGATAGAATTAAACGGCTACATCTCTGAGACCTGACAGTTTGCCAGGCTACATCAATTGCGAATTAAAGATCATATGCATTCATAGGATCATACATTTGCCTGATCATGTGTTTACAAAAATGCCCTAGAAGAAGAAGAACCCCCCCCCCAAAAAAAAGACACCTCATAGACATTTCTGATATCAGGAACGTCTCAGAAATTTTGTAAGATCTGATAAAAAGAATTCATTGCTAAATAAATAAAATGGTAACAGTACTACACATATTCGTCGAATTAATATTTTAATGTATTTATTTTCTTAGTTTATAACTATCTCATCGAGTGTTTAATTTTAGAGATTAGACCATGATTTATATATTTATGCATAATCTATTAGTATTTAGTTTTGAGAAATTATTTAATTGTAATGCAACAAAATGTAAAAAAAAAATAATAATAATAATTGAACAAAAAATTTCAGGAGACATGTATAGAATTTTCATTAAATATCAAATTCATTTTTATTTTTATAGCTTCTATTAATGGACGGAAGTTTTATGTTATTTCTCCCAATTTAGAATACATGTCCGACGCACGGATAAAATAGGCTCTGAAGCGCAAGCACACAAGTTGGAAGAATACATGCAACATGCCGAAGAATACTTTCAAACCTTTGAACTGACATCAGACCAAAAAACTAAACGGAGGGTTTACATCGCAACGGATGACCCAGGCGTATTGCAGGAATGCCATGCAAAGTAATAATAATAATTATCCAGTTTAACCTTGAAAATACGCTAAAAATGTAGACATGTTGAATGCAAATAAGAAGGCTTTGTTTTGAATAAATGACCAATGGGTGTTTATAAATGAATGGTGCGGTTTTAAAAATTAATAATAAATCGATGTATTACCTTGCCCATGGTAAAATCTACACCGTAGGCATAGGCAACTGTCCAAGTTTCTCATGCGTTACCTGCTGTTTGTTTGTCATGATAACTGGGCAGCCGCAGCATCAGTTTCCAAGATGGTGTCGCAACAGGAAAAGGCTTTGTGTGTTCTCCATTTTGAGGTATTGAGATCTGTGGTTACAGTGCATCGTGAGTTTCATGCACGATTTAGGAAAGATCCACCACACAAGAATAACATAAGTAGGTGTCACCGTCAGAACAAAGAACAGAGCAGAATACCGGAAACGAACTCCTGTCCTGGTGTGAATCTTTCAGGAATTGACGCCCATACCCCAGAGACTCTCCGGATTAAGACCTTTAAAGGCCCCAAGCACTTCAAAAGATTTCGGTGTACCCCTGCATGTACCTTATAGCTGTTTTCCCCATTCCTTCTATAATGATTACTTCCTTACTACATGATATTAGGCTTTTTTTTAATAAACAAGTAATTATTAATTTTACTAAGAACTTTTTTGTAACCCAAGGGATCTTGATGATGCCGATCAGTTGCTGGTGCGTATTCGACTATTGACTATTTAATCATCATTAATACCCTTTAAAATTCCAGCTAACCCCTGGAATAGATCTGCACTAATTTAATATGAAATGATGCCATTTATACGCCAACAGCTTGACTAGAAGCCCTGGAATTCAGATCCCTCTGTTTCTGATCATCAGTAAAAATATCACTAATCACGTGCGTGACGTGATAAAGTAGATACAAATTTACTAATAAAGCTCAAGAAATAAGCAACAAGACAATCAGCTGTCTTGTAACAGTGATTGTCTTATACCAGCTTGCAACATACATCCCGAAAGCCCTTAGGCGCATTTCATCGAACAAATGCCATCTTCGGCTCATGCTTTCCACTTTGGCAGTCTCGGATTACACAGAAATATCGCTCCTTGGGAACTGATGCATAGGTCCCGTATGCTTCTTCTTAAGGCGTTGTGATTGCGGAAGTGTGTTTTAAACTAATTTTTGATTGCCTGTTTGCATTCGGTGATGCAGCCTCTACCTCATATGCTTCCCTTTTCTTCCAATCGTACCTTCTTCTTTTAGCGTTTGTTGCTTTTTTTTATCGCGAGTATAGTTAACCATGCTTGATATGTGCACCACTGTCAGCAGTATACATCTCTGTTCGAGCTAAAACTACTTGTTAGGTGTTCTGCAGCGTTCAGGTGTTACGTTACAAAGAATTGCTGGATATCCTCATGGGTGCTCTCTTAGTGTAATCTTTTAGCATATTTCAGATAACAAGTGGAGATTTTGTGATTCAAATCTTAGCAAGAACGCGATAGATTTACTACATTCTCTGGTTTCAAAATCATAATGTCTCTCTAACATTGCTTAATGCTTCGATAATACATGTTAGCAGATCGTTAATCTCACTTCCTTACTGTTCGCAGATCGTTAACCTCCCTGTCACTTATGCGGCCGCAGGCGAAAACCACGGAATCTGGCTAACCTTAACCCTGAATATCTTCATAAATTGAAGATCCTAACAGTTGCGAGAATGACGTTGTTTTTCAATGATAGTTCATAGGGAATGTAACATCAGAGAGGCTGGTCAGAAAAGTCACGTGATGTCAGAGAAGTGGGAGACTGGTGAAAAGACTGGAGACTGGAAGCTGAGCTATATACGAAGAAAAAGCAACAGTGTTACCATGCTTTTGTGCGGGTACAGCAGACTATCTCAGACCATACATTTAGGAAAAACAAGCTAAAGAAGAGGAAAGGAGGAAAATTTCTAGGTCAAAGTTGTCAGGACTACTATTCCTTCTAATAGCCTTTGGAAACATAACTAGTAGGAACATAAGCTGAGTAGAAACAGGGAGTCAACTCAAAACTATGTTCATAGAAGACAAATTAGAAGACAAATGAGAAGGGTTAAATTAAAGTGTAGAAGACAAACGAGAAGGGTTAAATTACACTTTATTTCTCACAGTGTACAGTTGATCCCGCACTTCGGGATACAAACATCAGCACTTATGGTCTGAAACGTAAAAAATAAGAAGTAAAACTAACCTAATAAAATAAAAACTAAACTCAGATACTCTACAAAAACTGGTAACGCGAAGATTGGCCTTTTAAACTCTATGTATGTAGAGAGCAGAATGCGGGAAACTACAATACGTCTTCAAGTATCAAAGAGAATTAAGTTCTGGCCTTAAAGGTAGACAGGAACTGACTGAAAAGCTCGCGAGTTCAGGCAGTCTCTCTCTCAGTCTCTCTTGGCTAAAAGCCATACCTAAATGCTTAACAGTTTGCGAGCTTAATTTGCATAAAATGTTCGCGTTTATTCTGGCTGGAAATGGAAAATAAGAGAGGCCTTGCAAAGTTTTAAAATAAAATAAATGTTAGTAAAACTTAAAATCTTTACATACTTCCTGACAGAACTGAATAGTTCGAAAACAAGGTCTAAATGACCTTGTTGAGATCTTTAAATTATAAATTCTAATTCAAACACGAGGCCAATCCTTACAAATATTCTAACCTAGAAATTATAGTGGTTACAGAAGATATGTTCTAGAGACAAAGATTCTTCATCTGTACTTGAATCTAAAATACAATTTTTCTTCTCATTTGTCTGGCTCCTTCCAGAGATCTGGAAGGAAAACTAGTTTAGTACTTTGGTGCAGCATTTTAGATGGCAAATAGCATAAACAAGTTTCTTTTAGAAAGCGCTGTTCTCAATTATCTATTTCATTCATACTTTTATTTAATTATCTCTCCGTGTGTTGTAAAAAAAAAGAGAAATGTCAAACACGGGCTTGAATATGTACTACTTGCCAAGATGTCTTCTATCATATGTGGATAACTTCAGAAAGGAACGAGCAGGCACGGATAAAAATTTAAAGCCATTAGAATTGCTTCCTGCTGTCGCTATGCATCTCTTTAATCTGTCAACTTCTTTGGCGATCACAGCAAAAACCCTGTCTTAAATTTTTTGTTCGATTTGTCCTTGGACGGCAGAAACTCTTTCTTCAATTTGTTGTTCGATCTGTTGTTGGATGGCCGAAACTCTTCCTTCGATTTGTTCTTTAAAAGAAACTCCTTCTTCAGTGTGTCCAACTTTATTTTCAACAGCGTCTATTCTGCCTTCCATGGCCTCAAATTTGTTTTCTATAATGTAGGTAATTTCTTTTTTTTTTTTACTTCCTCTTGACCTGCTTCAATCTTTCCTTCATCGGCTTCCATTTCTTTAACATGTTCTTCCATCTTTCCTTAGACGGCTTTCATTTGTTCTTTAACGGATTCTTGAGCAGCTTCTATCTTTCTTGAAACGCAGCAAAGGCTGCCACTAATTGCCTTAATTGTTTCTCCCCCGCTCTTGTCACTGACATTCAATCCCACTTCAGACACCAAAAAGTATTGCGTGCGTACGGGTTTGTAATAGATTGAATGCGCAAGTCCAATAAAAGGTTAATAAAATTTATTCTTATCAAAATGAATATAACAGAACGCTGGAATTTTCTTCAGAGGTATTCGTACAAGTGTTCACATTAGCACGCAATATAATCAATACTTGTACTGCAAACTTCTAGAAACGTTAAAATACAACGCACTGCAAAGCGTTATCGAAAAAGAAAGCTAATTCAGATATCTGAGTTCACGTGGAACTAAATAAATCGCAATTACAATAACTAAGCATATAAGGTATTTCTCCCATTTCTCTAGGGTGCCTTCGTGGTGTAGGGGTTCTGTACACTGGGTGGGTATTCCAGAGGTCCGTGGTTCGATTCCCGGCGAAGACGGTTGCATATTTTTCATCTTGCCTGCTTCCAAAAACATCTTATGACTCTGCAAGTGGCGCCCGAATTAAAAGAATTGTGGATGATGATTCTCCGCACCCAGGATTTGGCGATTAGTTCCCCTAAAACCCTAGTCGTCCTTTAAAAAGGGGAGTATATAAGGTATTTCTCCCACTTTCCTAGCGTGTCTTCGTGGTGTAGTGGTTCTGCACACTGAGCCGGTATTTCAGAGGTCCGTGGTTCGATTCCCGGTAAAGGTGGTTGCATATTTTTCATCTTTTCTGCTTCCAATAAACCTAATGACTCTACAAGCAACTATCTAAACAACTGACATGATATGTTCTCTCTCTAATCTCTAGTAAGTTCTGCTTCTCGAGAATTTTGGAAAGCAATAAGAGGATGTAATTACGGTTACAGCTAACATGGTGGTCAATTACATTTATTCAATTTAAAAACAAATTACAGAGATATCCATTTATTCAATGTTAAATGCATGTGCTCCTGTATTTTACTTTTCCGGCATAGCTTTCTCTTAAAATTTGTTTCGCACTGCATTGCACGGAGAAATAAAAACAATTTTGGTTACAGTTCTATTAAAATTAGCGATTTAAGTACAAAATTCATAACAGTGTGTAAGTCATGAAGTTTAAGCAGTCGTACTGTTCCTGATAATTTCTTGACAGCAGCTCTTGCATTAGCAAGCCTCTTGTGCACGAATAAATGTAAAATCACGCATTGCAGCAACGTTTCTCACATGTAGTTATTCGGTAAGAATGGGCTAAAGTATACACCAAGATATCAACTGCGCTGCGCGTACATACCAGCATCGGCCTACCTGAATAGGGAGGACTGGTAATGCTCTTAATTGCTTACACTGGAACGCCACTGGTGACAGCAAACCGCGACAGGCTTAGGTTAGATTATTTGAATACGGGGAAGTACATGAGGACTATCTGCTTAAAGGAAAGAATGCCTTTGTGGAGGACTTTGTAAGGAAAACTACTTCTTATTCACTGCCACAATAGGATGAACGGGGTTAGGGAAATGTATTGCATACTGCTGTACTCCGTCTCTTGCTCGATAATTCGCATTCCCTACACAAGAAAATTATCCAGTTGTACTAGTTGAAATAATTAGACATGTTTAGGTTTGAAGATCTAGTCCACCCATTGTGTGTCAGACCCTCCCTGATCGTCAGTTTAGCGTGGCTGGCTAAATATGGCATATCATTTCTATATGCATACTGTCGTTCACCCATCACTGTTCTGTAGGCAAATTTCATTAAAGATTTTACGATTTTCCATGTCATGAGTAACATATTGTTACGTTTTTCCTATTCTTCTGACACCAGTTCTTGCGTTATTTTCTTCCTTCACGTTCGTACGGGGTTCGTGTAGATTTGGAGTGAATAACGACGACACTTTACGAAGTATCGAAACACACTTTATTTGCCAGTATTGTCAGAACAGCTCCAAAACACGTTTTATAGTCGTTGATGAACTACTATAAACACGCTGGAACAATCAGCGACACAGCCTTCACACTGTCAGGCAATAACGGTGGAGATAGCTTCCTGCAAAGCACCAGAGTACAGCTCCTGACTCTGCTTGGTCGTTCTCGGAACTCCACGT